AGATGTGACTCTCAGAATATCATCTGAATGATTGTGTGTGTGTGTGTGTGTGTGAGAGAGAGAGAGACAGAGAGAGAGAGACAGAGAGACACACACATAGAGATCTTTGAAAGGGACTGGGTTCCAAACCACTGGGATTTTATCCTTGATGTTCTCATCACATTGTGGACTGAAGGTCACAGGCCATGGGCATTTTTTTCTCCAGTCACAGGCAGACTTCATTGTGTCTCACTCTGTGGAACTTGGGCTCGGGAATCAAGAGTTCCATCCCCCCCCCGCCCCCAGGACTCCCTTGGTAGAAGGACTCATGGCAAAATCTTTGGGTCCCAGTAATGATTCCATCAAAGATGGGGCTTCCTCACCTGAGACATGTATTTCCAGGGGGTCACTGAGTTGTGACCACACCTGTGGGCTTCTCTTGTAATAGCCGTAACACTGGAAGGGTCCCCTGCTGCTGGGGGTCACAGGACCCACGATGAACAGAGCCTGGAACTGACCAGTGGAGGCTAAGTACTATGAGTCCTGGGAAGTGGAGGTCTTCTGTCCTCCTTCCCTGGTCAGAGTGAACCCACCATATCCATGTCGTGAGACACACTGGAGGGTCATGTTCTCTCCTGAGGTCACCACAGGGCTGGGCAGGGCTGACAGCTGAGGTTTACTGTGGGCTGTTAGGATGGAAGGAGGCTGCATGTTAAATGAATTCCCACATTGTCTTCCAGGGTTGGGCTGTGAAAGACACCCTTAAGATGAGAACACTTTTCCTGATGGCAGAGAAGGGGGATGGGGAGCCTGAGTTCCCTCACCTGTCATCACCAGCTCCAGGGCGTCACTGCACTGAGTCCAGCCAGCAGGGCTGTAATAGTAACAGCAATATCGCCCTGCATGTTGCTCTGTCATGGATGAGATGGAGAACTTGGCCTTGTCCCCGGGCTCCATTGGGATCTGTGTGTCCCAGGGTGCTGAGCTTCCCTCTTTCTGCAGAATATATTCTTGGGCATTGAGAATCCCCTGACACCAGATGGTCACGTGACTGCCTGAGGCGATCACAGAGCTTGGCTCAGCCCTGATGGTGGGTTTGTGGTGAGTCTCTGCAAGGAAGGAGGGGCCATGTCAATGGGTCTCTTTGAGCAGTGGCACAGTGATCGCCACACTCAGAGATGACAGTCAAGCTGACCCTGGGTAGCAGAAGGACCCTGGAGCCCTTTGAAGATCCATCTCTGTCCTGAAAGGCCCGCCTACACTCTCTCTGTCTCTCTTTGGCCTATGTATCTTGTGTTTCACAGTCCCCACACTGTCAAAGGTCTCAGTAGCCTTAAGGTCCAGTGTCATTCCAGGGCAAGACTGGGGCTTCCTCACCTGAGACCTGGAGCTCCAGGGGGTCACTGGGTTCTGACCACAGCTGTGGGCTCCTCAGGTTATAGCTGTAGCATCTGAGCCTCCACTTTTGACTGGGGGTCACAGGGCCCACAGAGAACAGGGCCTTGTACCGCTTTGTGGAGTATATATACTGTGGGATCAGGGTCCAGGAGAGCTCCTGTGGTCCTTCCTTCCTCAGCACGAATCTGTCATATCGTTGCTCTGAAACACACTGGAGGACGATGTTCCCTCCTGAGGCTACTGCAGGGCTATACTGAGCTGAGAGGCCAGGTTTGCTGTAGTGGTATCCTAGGAGAGGAGGCAGAATGTTAAGTGAACTCACACAGCCCTCACTGTCCTCCAAGGCTGGGCCATGAGAGGGGGGACACATCCTCTCACAGGAAAGAAGGACCTGTGGGGAAAGCAGGACCCCTTTCCTAAGAGTGAAGATTGGGGCTGAGACCTTTGAGTGACCTCACCTGTGACCACCAGTTCCAGGGGATCACTGCACTCTGACAAGCCAGCAAGGGTTTGATAGTCACAAAGATATCGCCCTGCGTGATACCACTCAATGGATGGAATGGAAAATTCGGTCATCTTCCCAGGCTCCAGCAGGATGTGTATACTCGAGGGATCTGGTTCTCCCTCTTTAAGGAGATGGTACTCCATCGCCCCTGAAGTCCCCTTACATGAGATGGTCACCTGGGTCCCTTTGGAGACCACAGAACTTGGTTCAGCCCTGAGCGTGGGCTTGGAGAGGCTCTCTGCAAGGAAATCAGAGGCTGGGTCACAGGACACCCTCCCTCAGATCCCAGCCCTCAGCCCAGGGACTTTCTTCAGTTTCCCCAGCATGAGCCATACCTGCTGCTCTCTGTCTCCAGTGCCCAGAGCTGACCCCTTGTCCAGAGTGAGGAGGAATTAGCTGTGACAGCTGGAGGACACACTCACCTGCCAGCACTGGGGTCCTGAGGTCAAGTCTCAGTCCTGGAAGAGAGTTCCCTGTGAGAAGTTTGCTCCTGAAGCCTGGGCAGGTCCTCCCCTCCACTGTTCCTCTGAGCCCCTGAGATCTCTTGGAGGTACAAGGTCTGGCTGTGCGGTGGGTGTTCCCTCCCGGACTGGGGTGTTCTCTCTCTCTCTCTCTCTCTCTCTCTCTCTCTCTCTCTCTCGGGTGGGTGTTCCCTCCAGGACTGGGGTGTTCTCTCTCTCTCTCTCTCTCTCTCTCTCTCATCTCACCAAGGCAGATCAGGGCTGCGAAGGTGGGAGTCATGGCATCTCTTCCTTGTGGCTGCAAACTTGCAAATGGCTGGGGACAGTGCCTTTCCCAGTGGGCAGACACACAGGTTGTAGCCTTTAGAGGCTGGGTCCTCCTTCCTGTCATGAGGCTGTCACCTCAGCAGACCCACAGGAAGTGGAACTGCCTCCCAAACATTGACTCTCTTTCCCTAGTGCTGTTTCTTGAACAGACTTCAGTTTCTCTCTCTCTCTCTCTCTCTCTCTCTCTCTCTCTCTCTCTCTTCCCCTCCAATGCATGGACCATCACACCTGCTTCTTTTATTGTTACAACTTCGGAAATCCTAATCCTGATTTTCCTCCCTCAGCCTCCTGTGTTCTGGGATTATAGGCCCATGCCTGACTGCCATCTCTTCTTACAGATGAGGCATCTCCCTGAAGCCCATCCACCCTCTGCTCTAACTGTCTTCATCTCACCAAAAGTCAAGAGTTAGCACCAAACAGACCAAGTGCCTTTCAGAGCTAGAACCTTCCAACTGTGAGTGGTTCAGGGCTGGTCCTCCTCTCTCAGAGCCTGCGCACAGGGTCTCCTTCACTACTTAATGCAGACCATCCTCACAGAGTTGTTTGGTCCTTCCCATGGTCAGTCATCTCCCCAGCACTAGAGATACTATGGAAATGTTGTGTGAACTTTTAGTAGAAAGAGGAATGAAGTTCTGTTCTGTCCAGACAGGGCAAAAATCATAGAAGCAAAGAAATGATTCCCAGAAATCCAGCACAGTGAAAAAATAAGCTTTGTTTTTCACTGTGTGGGCTCCCTAGTGTAGTATGCAACTGAAGAAAAGCTTCTCCCTGAAACCAGCTAACTGCCTATGGCTGCTTCAAACAGTGGTGGGCCCTCATGAGTCCCCATTATGAAGGGACATGTTCATCAGCCCGATGTTGTGCAGGTCCACTGTGGGTCGTCACAGCTACTGCGAATCAAGTGGTCAAGGGTCACGCCATGCCTGGAGAACAGCATTCCACAGCAGGGAAGGTGCAGGTTGATGCTGCAGGGAGGACACAGAGCAGCAGAGACACACTGAGCACCTGACTGTGCAAGCCACATGGAGCTTCTGTGCTGAGGAGGACCACAGAGGAGACACGGAGACAGGGAGGGAAACTCTGACGCTCTCATGGCTCTGGTTGGTGTTCCTCGGCTGAACCGTCCCCTTCAGGTCCTTCCTCCTTTTCTCCCAACATGAACCTCCCCATCTCCCGTGGAAGAACTTTCACAGCCACTATTGCCTCCTCTGTGCTCCTGTGCCCTCTGTCAGAACTCTCCTGGGTGGGGAGGATGGTGGTTTTCATATCATGCTCATCTCCCACTGTGCTTGTCAACCTGAGCATCAGCATCTTCTCTCTGAGCACCACCTTCATCTGCTGCCTGCCTCACTCCTCTGGGAGGATGCAGGGTCAGTAATGCTTGTGACACGAATGCATCAGCCTTGTTTAATTTTCGGAGCAGAGTACAATATAGTTTTGTGATATGAAGGGTTTATGGGGTGGGACAATGTTGTGGTGACTAAAGGGTCCCAGATTCCTTTGGATGTTTAGAGTGGTCCACACCCTCTGTTTAAATTGTACAAATAATCTAGATGAAAAAGAAAAAAAGAGAAATGAAAACTGAGTTTCCCAAGTGCAGAAGGAACCACATCAGGGACAGAGTGACCACTGGATCTGGGTCATCAAGGGGACATAGGGAGTGGTCCTCTGCCATGTGGGATGGATATGGAATCAGAGCACTGGGTCAGAGTTTGAGCTGCACCATGCCTGTACCCATTTTTGCAGATGTGCACTGGGATGTTTGAGCTCACTGTGCAGGGCCCATGGTCAGCACTGACCCACCTCTATGCATGTGCATAACTCAGACTTACTCCTGTGTTTTAATTATGATCATCCGTCTCTCAGGAGTGTGAGTGTTTGATGACTACACTGGACCCTTCCCTGTCAACCTAAGCACATGGTAGGTTTGGAAGAATGGACATATAGGACAAGGGCTGCTGAACAATCCCTCCACTCAGGCTTCATTCTGGGCTCAGCCCTGGAAGAAACCTGTGAAAGGATCAGGGGCAGGGGAGGAGAGATGCTCGACAGGAATGGACAGCACAGAGTGTGTCAGAGAAAAACAGCCTGGAATGGATCAGGCAGCTGAACCCTGGCTAATACAGCAGGTGTGATGGTGTAGACAGAAGGCAGTGTTATATTTAGTGACTTGCTTTGTTCTTCTTTATCTAAACTTGACATTTACAATAATGTTGTGTCATAGTTCACAGAATTCTTCCTTTTTGGGGGGGCAGGCTTTTACTTGGGGTACTTCCGTGCCACCCTCAAATACCTTAACCTTTGCCTCAGCTGTCCAAGTCTGCAGTTAAGGTCATACACCACAATGTTTAGTTTTGCTTTTTTTTGAGACAAACAGTAATTTATTAATTGGGAATTTCATATGTGTTTAATCACACTCAGACCCCATCCTTCCATATCCCTCCCCATCCCCTCTCAGACTGACCCCAATTCCCCTGGAAGCTTCTTTATTAGTAGGTTTCTATAGGACTTTTTCAAAATGCCTTCGATGTTAGTTACCCTTCCTCTTACCCCCTCCTTTACCTTGTCCTTCCGTTCCTCACCCCATTAACCTTTCCTATTCCACTGTGCCCTTTCCCCCTTTATATCAGTGTATTTACCCCTCCTTCCAGGAAGCTTACTTCCAGATGATCCCTAAATAGTTTCCTGACCTCTATAGATTTTCCAGTGGTAACATACATATCTAAGAATTCAAAGCTAGCCATCCATATATGAGAGAGAACATGTGACCTTTGTCTTTCTAGGTCTGTGTTACCCCACTCAGGGTGCTTGTTTCCAATTCCATCCACTTACCTGTGTATTTTATAATTTCACTTTTCTTAACAGCTGAATAACATTCTTTTGTGTAAATATACCATGTTTTCATTATACATTCATCAGTTTATGGACATCTGGGCTATTTCCATTTCCTGGTTATTCAGAGTAGAGCAGCAATGACCATGGATTGGCAGGTATTTCTATAGAATGATATTGAGTCCTTTGGGTACATGTCCAAATGTGGTAAAGCTGGATCATGTGGTAGATCTGTTTCTACCTTTTGAGAGACCTCCATACTGCTTTCAATAATGGCTGTGCCAGTTTGCAATTAAAGCATCAGTATGTAAGTGTTCCCTCCCCATATCCTCATTAGCATTTGTGTTTATCTTAGGTACCCTGGTAGAGTAAGATGAAAGCTCAGTGTAGTTTTAATGTGATGTAATGAAATTTATTTCCTTGCTTTTGCCGCTATTTGTAATTGAATTGTTTTTAATTTTTGATGTTCAGATTTAAAAAAATATTTATTATTTTTATTTTATGTGTATGAGTGTATTGCCTGCATGTATGTGAGTGCACCCGTGTTGTGCAATGCCACGGAGGTCAGAAGAGGGCTTCGGATTCCTCTGGAACTGGAGTTAAGGACGGTTCGTAGCCACCATGTGGGTTCTGGGAATCAAACCCTGGTCCTCTGCCCATAGATTAATGAATCTCTCAACTCTCACCAGAGAACCTTAACACAGAGACCCACAACCTACCAGCATGCAGAGAATAAAAGACTACAGAATGATTATCCATGTATCAGACACCCATGTCAAACCTCTGCCTCTCAAGGCTCAGGGATCATTGTGGAAGAGGGGGCAGAAATATTATAAGAGCCAGAGTAGATGAATGACCACAAGAAAACAGAGTCTTCCAGAAAGATGGGAAGTTAGTCATATCAACTCACAGCAATGGAGACAGAATGCATAAGACCCACATAATCTCAAATCAGACCAAATCTCAGTACAGTAGTAGGGAATTGGGTAAGAATCCTGAGCCCTACCTGATGAACACTTGTCAGCCCATGGCTGCTAGAAGAGGGAGAGAGAATCATTTATCATTAAGGGTGTGAGTCTGGGTAGGTTAACCAGGCTCTTGAGAGGGAGCATTTGGCAACGTGAATCAGCCCATGTGCTAGAAGAGGGAGAGAGAGTCATTTATCATTAAGGGTGTGAGTCTGGGTAGGTTAACCAGGCTCTTGAGAGGGAGCATATTCTGAAGGCACTTGAGGACACAAAGGTGATTCAATAATTTATATA